TGAAACGCAAGGAAGAGGGGGAGGAAGGAGGAGGAGGAGGAAGGAGGAATGAGACGCGGGGCACCGTCTCTTCAAAACGAGGACCCAACACCACAGGATGGTTGGGAACAAGAGGGCGATAGAGACAACACCAGGCAACACCAGACAACAACAAAACAACAACATTATCCTGGCGAAGGACCCAACCATATGCAATTGTGAATAACGCTTTGTGGGTGCCGCTTTCGGTGGGGCTCCTTATGGGGCCACGAAAAGCGTGCCTCGAAACGCTGTCCTGGGCGTACGAGACGCATGAGGGCGGTAGCATTGGGGCTTTCGGTGGAGCTCCCTGTGGGGCCACGAAACGTGTGAGGGGTGTGCCGAAATGGGCGCGGCGCCGCATCGAATCGGCCTTCGACTACCCAGGCTGGTGTCTCGAAATCCTCCTGGGACAGCGCTTCACGACAATGTCGAGTGCGATTCGCCGACATCGCCACATCACATCACGCTCACGTGCACAATCACACTACTCACTAGACTCCGCCCCACAGGCATCGTCAGAACAACAATCACCACTGTTCCCCATTGCTGCCCCCCCCAACTTCCTCATCACCCGCAGGATGGTCGTATAGGTAGATATACGATATACACTGGTAGAGACGCATCGCTTGGCGCATACCCGCCTGGTAAGTAATCCAAGGGTGCGCACACAAAGCGTAGCGAAATTCCTCGCTGCCCCTGGAGTGAAAAGAGTGAACAACAGGACATGACATTGATATTTTCCGACGGAGACGCATCAGCCTGGCGCGCACTTATCTGGTCGATTGCCCAAGGATGTGCGCGCAAGGTGGAGAGGCCAGCTCTTGGAAGTGAAGAAATGCATCAAATTCACTGCAGCCTGACGCGCCTTTGGCGCGAGCGGCAGACATACTGAGGCGCCGACCAAGAGCATTCGAACGCCAACAATGAAACTCCGCCGCCCTGTCGCAGGCACGTTGGGGCCATGTGAGAGCGCTTGGATGGTTGGGAAAAAACGTGGCTTCTCGAAGCCAAAGGTGAGTAGCCTGATGATACAGGCTCCGCATCGTGCTAAACACGGTGCGCCGACTCGTGCTCATCGATCTCCGCGTCCTGCTCCGACTAGTTGACCTCAACCTCCGCGTTGTGAATGCCGCGCTGGGGTGTTGGGCCCCTGCCACGGCCAGGACATTCGAGCCCCTCCAGGCAGCCCAGCGCGACGCCGCAGACCAAGAACAAGATCAACAAGAAGAAGATCAAGACACCAGCGAAGACTGCAATTAATCCCCATGGCTCGGTGGTGGCTGTGGTGTTTGACGTGTCCGAACTCGTGCCCGTATCGGTGGTCGTCGTGGCCGTCTTGGTGGTCGTCGCGGTGGTCGTCTCAGTTGTTGTCTCGGTGGTTGTCTTGATGATGGTAGTAGTGCTTGACGTCGCGGAACTCGTGCCCGTATCGGTGGTCGTCGTGGCCGTCTTGGTGGTCGTCGCGGTGGTCGTCTCAGTTGTTGCCTCGGTGAAGTCGAACACGTACGCGGAGCCTGAATTGGTGCCCTAGTCGTCGTCATAGTAGGCCCCCACCACCACGCGGGCCCCGTCGGAGCTCACGGCCACCGAGTAACCGAATCTGTCGCCTGCAGCCCCATCACTCGCCACAAGCTTCAGCAGCCTCTCGCCGGTGGTACCGTCGAGCACGTACGCGGAGCAGGAACCGGAGCCCTGGTCGTCGTCATATTTGCTCCCCACCACCACGCGGGCCCCGTCGGAGCTCACGGCCACCGAGTAACCGAACAGGTCGGAAGCAGCCCCATCACTCGCCACAAGCTTCAACAGCCTCTCGCCGGTGGCCCCGTCGAGCACGTACACGGAGCCGGAAGTGGAGCCCTGGTCGTCGTCTTGGTAGGCCCCCGCCACCACGCGGGCCCCGTCGGAGCTCACGGCCACAGAGTAACCGAATCTGTCGCCTGCAGCCCCATCACTCGCCGCAAGCTTCAGCAGCCTCGCGCCGGTGGTACCGTCGAGCACGTACGCGGAGCCTGAATTGGTGCCCTGGTCGTCGTCATAGTAGGCCCCCACCACCACGCGGGCCCCGTCGGAGCTCACGGCCACCGAGGAACCGAAAAAGTCGTAGTTGGCCCCATCACTCGCCACAAGCTTCAGCAGCCTCTCGCCGGTGGCCCCGTCGAGCACGTACACGGAGCCGGCACCTTCGCCCTGGTCGTTGTCATATCTGCTCCCCACCACCACACGGGCCACGTCGGAGCTCACGGCCACCGAGTGACCGAAACTGTCGCCTGCGGCCCCATCACTCGCCACAAGCTTCAGCAGCCTCTCGCCGGTGGCCCCGTCGAACACGTACGCGGAGCCTGAAAGGAAGCCCTGGTCGTTGTCCACATCGTTTCCCACCACCACGCGGGCCCTCGTCGGAGCTCAAGGCCACCGAGATTCCGAAACGGTCGTAAGCAGTCCCATCACCCGCCACAAGCTTCAGCAGACTCTCGCCGGTGGCCCCGTCGAGCACGTACGCGGAGCCATGAACAGTGGTTTCGTAGTCTGCGTAGTAGTAGTAGTAGTAAACGGCCCCCACCACCACGCGGGCCCCGTCGGAGCTCACGGCCACCGACATTCCGAACCTGTCGTTGTCGACCCCATCACCCGCCAAGAGCTTGAGCAACTGCGCGCCGCTGGTAGACAGGCGCCTCCCGAACTCGGCCTGCGGCTCGCGAGGGCGACCGCTCGCCGAGCCCTCCACCCTCGGGCGGGCCAGCGTCCCGCTCGCCGGCGACCCAGCGCTCGGGGCGCCGCGCGCTGCCAGCAGCAAGAGCAGCGCGCCGACGCTGTGAGACGTGCGCAGGCGCATCATGCCGTCTGCAAATGTGCAGAGCTGAGCGGAACGAGAGACGCCAGAGGGGAGCCCTGGGAGGCCGGCGACGGCCCCTCGAAACCTTGAGCCAAAATTGCGACCAGCCCCGATGGCTTGCCCAAGACATTCCTTGTTCGGATTCACCGTCATCATATGGTTACAGCATCACCATTGCTCTTCACTTTTACACTGGACTTCCTTGGTGATGTTTTCCGAAGGATTCCTTGTGTGAGGCTTTTAAATATAATCCCTTTGTGGTGCTTTCCAACGGATTTTTTTTTTTTTTTTTTTTTTTTTTTTTTTTTTTTTTTTTTTTTTTTTTTTTTTTTTTTTTTTTTTTTTTTTTTTTTTTTTTTTTTTTTTTTTTTTTTTTTTTTTTTTTTTTTTTTTTTTTTTTTTTTTTTTTTTTTTTTTTTTTTTTTTTTTTTTTTTTTTTTTTTTTTTTTTTTTTTTTTTTTTTTTTGCGAGGCTTTCCAATATAATATTTTCGTGGTGCTTTCCAAAGGATTCCTGCTGTGAGGCTTTCCAATAGAATCCCTTTGTTGCGCTTTCCAAAGGATTCCTTTTGTGAGGTTGTCCAATCGTATCCTTTTGTAGTGCTTTCCAAAGGGTTCCCTTTATGAGGCTTTCCACTAGAATCACTTCGTGATGCAGAGGAGGCGGAGGAGGAGGAGGCGGAGGAGGAGGAGGAGGAGGAGAAGAGAGATCTATAGAGAGAGAGAGAGAGAGAAAGAGAGAAAGAGAGCGAAAGAGAGATAGAGAGAGAAAGAGAGAACGAAGAAGAGTGGAGGAGGATGAAGACGAGGAGGGGATATGTATGATCATGTGGGTGGGGGGGTAGATCGCCCCCCACCACATGATCATACATATCTCCTCTTCCTCCTCCTCCTCATCCTCCTCCGCTCTTATTCGTGTTCTCTCTCTCTCTCTCGCTTTCTCTATCTCTCTCTCTCTCTTTCTCTTTTTCTCTCTCTCTCTCTCTCTCTCTCTTCTCTTTGTCCTCCTCCTCAAAGAATCCTTTGGAAAGCACCACGAGGGGATTCGATTGGAAAGCCCCATAAAAGGGGAATCCTTTGGAAAACGCTACAAGGGGATTCGATTGGAAAACCTCAAATTAGGAATCCATTGGAAAACACCACAAGGGGATTCTATTGGAAAGCCTCACAAAAGGAATCCCGTGGAAAGCACACAAAAGGATTCGATTGGAAAGCCTCACAAAAAGGAATTCTTTGGAAAGCGCAGCAAAGAGATTCGATGGGAAAACCTCACAAAAGGAATTAGGTGTGCAAAGTCAGAGCCATAATTTAGTCATTTTTGTGTGTGTCTGTGTGGCTTTTGTGTTTTTTGTGTTTTTGTATGTTCCGTTCGGTGTTGTTTTGTGTTTCGTTGTGTTTTGTTGTGTTTTTTTGTGTGTTGGTTTGTGTTTTTTTGTGTTTTTTTTGGGCGGGAGGAATCTGCCGCGGTCGATCGCCCAGGAGGGTTCGACTGCCGCCCCGGCGCGGATCGCCCCCGCCAAGGTTCCCTTAAAAGGGGGAGCTTAGGCGTGGGCTTTTCCCGCAGGCGCCCCCGCTCGCCTGGGAGGGCGCGGGGGGTCCTGGATCGCCTGGGGGGGGGTTCCAGGACGGGCCGACTCGCCCTGGCGGGGGTCGGTCCGAGCGGTGGAATCGCCCGGGGAGGTCTCCGCCACTCAGTGCCTGCACGAGTCGCCCGGGGTGGTCTCGCGCGGGAACAGCCCTCGCGCATCGCCCAAGGGGGTCCCACGGGGGCGAGGTAGCCCGGGGGGGCGCCTGGGAGGACAGCGCACGGCGCGAAGGGTTCCCGCAAATCTTTCGCGGGACTCTCGCGAATTCGTCGCGGGGGGCCCGGGCTCTCGCGAATTTTTAACGGGGGGCGTAACGGTCTGGACAGTCGCGCAGGGGGGGGGGGGCGAAGAAGAGAGGAGGGAAGTCCGATGCCAAAGCCTCGAGGGCCACCTCCGGAACCAAGCGAATGACGGACAATTGGAGCAGGGGGCGGCTAAGGATAGAGAAGGGGGGCGAAGGATAAGAGCCGGAGGGGGGCGCGAGCGGCGCACCGAGGAGCAGAAGCGGAGAGAGAGGTAGTTCTCCGGTTGATCACGCCAAGAGAAGGGCGAGGTTGATGACTAAATTCAGGCTCTGACTTTGCACACGTAAAAGGAATCCTTTGAAAAGCACAACAAAAGGATTAGATTGGAAAGCCTCGCAAAAAGGGAATCCTTTAGAAAACACCACAAAGGGATTCGATTGGAAAGCCTGACAAAGGGATTCGATTGGAAAGCCTCACATAAGGAATCCTTTGGAAAGCACCGCAGAAGGATCATATTGGAAAGCCTCACAAAAGGAATCCGTTGGAAAACGCAAAAAGGTCCCGGGGACCCAGACCTCCGACATCGCGAAAAAATCACGACAAAGGTTTTCGCAGTTTTCGGCCTCCGGAGGCCCTCGGAGGGCCCCAGGAGCGAAAAAAAAACGACTCAGATTGAACATTGTCGCAGTTTTCGGCCTCCGGAGGCCCTCGGAGGACCCCAGGAGAAAAAAAAAAAAAAAAAAAAAAAACTCAGGATGAAAAACCGGCCCCGGGAAAAGGGTCGGGACTTCTGGGGGCCGAGGAAGAGGTCTGCTGGACCAGATCACGATCTAGTCTAAAGAGGAAGAAGAAGAAGAAGAAGACACTCCCGCGGAGGCGGGTCGCCCCCTCGGGGGCTGCCGCGCCCGAGCGCCCGCGGCCGCGGGCACTCAGCGCGGGGGCCAGCGGTGTCGCCAGCTCGGCGCTCGGCGCCTCCTCAGATGAGGAGCACGAAGGAGCCGCCGACGAGCGCCGTGTCGGACTTACCGCTTCTTCTTGCCCTTGCCCTTCTTGCAGCCTTCCGCCGCCGCCCCAGCGGCAGCACCGTCCACGAAGGGCTGCGCGTCCTCGAAGGCGACCTCGCACACCGTCGCACGGCGGCCGCTCTCAACCAGGACGCACACGAAGCCGTGCGGGTCGACGCCGTCATTGGGATCGCCGTACGCCGACCCTTGGCGCCCATCTCGAAGACGAACGCGGTCGCCGTCCCGCAGGATGTGCGGGGCGCGCCTCGGGGGCACCTCATCTGCCCACTCGTCGTCGTCGACGTCGGAGGGGAGCTTCATGTCCTCCTGGACCACCGCCTCCGCCGCCGCCGCCGCTTCCGCACCCACCACGCCGCCGTCGGCGGGGGCCCCCACGCCCACCGCCGCCGTCGCCGCCGCACCGCCGCCCAGGGGCTTCTCCTCCACGACGTCCTGCAGCTGGAAGCGCGAGTCCACCTCCATCCGACCACCGCGGCCGCGCGGGCGACGGCGCCGAGGCGGCACCGCCTGGGGACCCGCGCCGACCTCGGCGGGAGGGGTGGGCTGCCCGACCAGCTCGGCCACAGCCGTGCGGACGAGCCCCTCCGCCGCGCGCAGGAGGCGTGCCGAGTCACGCATCCCTCCTGCGGCGGCCAAGCCCGCGGCCGCGTGGACCGCCATCAGGGCCCCGCGCGAGGCCTCCAGTGGCGCCACGGCGCGTGCCGCCTTGGTCGAACCCGGCATCGGAGGCGAGGCGGGAGGCGCGGCGCGGCGCGGCGCAGCCCGGCGGCAAGGCGACCTTGAGCCAAAATGGCTACGGAACTAGTCTAAAGAGGAGGAGGAGTGGGCGGAGGAGGAGGGGGAGAGAGGGGAGGAGGAAGAGGGAGAGCCTGCCCACCGCGGCCGCTTGCGAGCGCGCTCTTGGGGCGCGCTCGGCGTCGTCGCCGCCGACGGCGGCCCGGGCGTCGCCGCTGCCGGCGGCGGCAACCCCAGCGCCGCCGCCGCCATCGCTGCCCCGACCGTCCTGCCCACGAAACGTGTGAGGGGTGTGCCGAAATGGGTGTGCGGGACGCATGCGGACGGCAGCCATGGGGCCTTCGGTGGAGCTCCCTATGGGGCCACGAAACGTGTGAGGGGTGTGCCGAAATGGGTGTGCGGGACGCATGCGGACGGCAGCACTGGGGCCTTCGGTGGAGCTCCCTGTGGGGCCACGAAACGTGTGAGGGGTGTGCCGAAATGGGTGTGCGGGACGCATGCGGACGGCAGCCATGGGGCCTTCGGTGGAGCTCCCTATGGGGCCACGAAACGTGTGGGGGTGTGCCGAAATGGGTGTGCGGGACGCATGCGGACGGCAGCACTGGGGCCTTCGGTGGAGCTCCCTGTGGGGGCCACGAAACGTGTGAGGGGTGTGCCGAAATGGGTGTGCGGGACGCATGCGGACGGCAGCACTGGGGCCTTCGGTGGAGCTCCCTATGGGGCCACGAAACGTGTGAGGGGTGTGCCGAAATGGGTGTGCGGGACGCATGCGGACGGCAGCATGGGGCCTTCGGTGAGAAACGTGTGAGGGGTGTGCCGAAATCCCTGTGGGGCCACGAAACGTGTGAGGGGGTGTGCCGAAATGGGGTGTGCGGGACGCATGCGGACGCAGCAACTGGTGCCTTCGGTGGAGCTCCCTGTGGGGCCACGAAACGTGTGAGGGGTGTGCCGAAATGGTGCGGGACGCATGCGGACGGCCGCCATGGGGCCTCCGGTGGAGCTCCCTTGGGGCCCCGAGCGTGTGAGGGGTGTGCCGACATGGGTGTGCGGGACGCATGCGGACGGCAGCACTGGGGCCTTCGGTGGAGCTCCCTGTGGGGCCACGAAACGTGTGAGGGGTGTGCCGAAATGGGTGTGCGGGACGCATGCGGACGGCCGCCATGGGGCCTTCGGTGGAGCTCCCTATGGGGCCACGAAACGTGTGAGGGGTGTGCCGAAATGGGTGTGCGGGACGCATGCGGACGGCAGCACTGGGGCCTTTGGTGGAGCTCCCTGTGGGGCCACGAAACGTGTGAGGGGTGTGCCGAAATGGGTGTGCGGGACGCATGCGGACGGCAGCCATGGGGCCTTCGGTGGAGCTCCCTGTGGGGCCACGAAACGTGTGAGGGGTGTGCCGAAATGGGTGTGCGGGACGCATGCGGACGGCAGCACTAAGGCCTTCGGTGGAGCTCCCTGTGGGACCACGAAACGTGTGAGGGGTGTGCCGAAATGGGTGTGCGGGACGCATGCGGACGGCAGCCATGGGGCCTTCGGTGGAGCTC